AGGCGTTGTAACCATTGGAAAAGATGGCGATCTGGGTCTTTCTGTTGGATTTCATCACGCTTGCTTTGATGTGTTCTACAAACGATCTGGCATCTTCGCAAGTGTTTGATGGTGTATAAGTATACCCGTGGAGAGCAGATTTTGGCGTTATGCAACGTTCACGGGAAGAGTCGAGCTCTGGAACGAGATGTTGTTGCTTCACACAGTCGACGACTAGTCTGGCTCCACGACGCAGCTTGTAGCGTTGCCCTCCGCCATGTGGGCTGCATGGACAGATGTTTCAAACGCCATCGCACATTTGACGATCGCCTACTGTCATAAAGACAGGCGCTTTCAGCATGATACTCGTATGTACAATATCATTTCACAGGGGAATGCAATGTTTCGATGTAGGCAGAGCCAAGTTGGGTAGAATCCAATGTTGTGCCGCAGAGAAGAGTAACAGAGATGTAGGGATCCGCTTGTACGTACAGTATTCCAGGCGAAGCCAATAAACATCGTAGTATTCAACATCTGAGTTATTTTACATCTGAGCACGGCTAGAAACAATGCTATGCATGCGCCAAATGACTGTACATCTGCTCTTTCTCGAAGGAAACATAACACCAATTTTCGAATGAACTGGGAAAAAGAAATTGAAAGACCAGCTCCCGACAACGTCTTCCGAGCCATCATTCCGTCTTGCGACGTAGTCCATCTAGTAAATATTGGTAGACGCCGCACAAAACGCAAGATACGACCAGCCACCAGCCGGTGACGGTTGTGGTAGCTATCGACGTCGCAGACCATTGACCCCCGTGTACCGTGTATATGTTTAAGATGGTCGACAGAAACCCGATGAGCGAGTTGACCAACGTCGGACTACAGCTTTGTGAGTGTCGACGCGCGCGGAACCTGGTCAAGCACGGCGTCTTACATGATGATGTGTTGATGCACCCAGACGTAGTTCGCACGCCACTTGAACCACAGCCACGCCAAGCCGATGGATGCGACGCCTGAGAGCACAGA